TTTCAATATTTTTGTTATTAAAAATGGGATTGTGACAAAGATTGTGCATCAATCTTTGCCGCTTTTACATTATTTCCACAGGCAAGAGTTGCCAGATGAAATATAAGATATCCCTCTAAATTTGAATTTCAAATAAACAATGAATAAATTTTTAGCATAAGGATGCTTGTCTTGGTTACTTTTCTCTCACTGCTGAGACGGAATACCCAACACCCAAAGTTAAAGGGGAAGAGGGCTATTGAGTGCACAGTTTGTAGAGGCTTCAGTCAGAGACAACAGTTCGTGGCTGTGGAACATAGCAAAAGCCACAAGGCATGGGGAGGGACCCTCAACAGCACCTCTCTGCCCCTTTTATCTTATGCAGATTACTTACTGAGGGTAGCATTCACAGCCTTAATTCTAGTGCCCTCTGGCCTAGCATTGCACCATGAATCAATCACTGAACATTCAGCCACCTCTGAAGAAGCTCCACCTCATTTACATGAGGCTTTGGGGGGACATCTAAACACAAGCCATCACAATGCTCAAAATATTGCCTAGCATAGACTTATTCTAAAAATATATTCACTTTATACATACAATTCAAATTTAACTGAACATCTGTTATTTTATTTGCTAAACCTAGCAACTTTATTATAGGGACAGTACCCAGGAATGGATTAAAATTGATGAACATTTTCAGGTTCTGGTGCACACGGCCAAAGATTTGTTCAGTAAACTAGTGCCAGTTTTCTCTCCTCTCATAGTGAATGAGAATGTCTGTTTCCTCACAGAACTGGCAGCTTTGCATCATTTCACTTATAAATAAACAAAACTTTGCTTCTTTGATGGTATGTGGGAAACGCTCGTTTAGGAAGCTTTGATTATCAATGAAGCTTTTTTTCCCCCCAAGAGTTCTGCACTTCCCCTTACGGATGCTGTCCTGTCTTTTGCTCATTTATCCTTTTGTTTTTCTTGTCAAATCATCCGAATGCTTAAAGGACATTTGTCTTATGTCTTTATTTATTGCATAAATAAAGTTGTTTCCCTTTTAATTTGGCCTATATTATTTTCCAAAGTAAAACCGTTTTTAAACATTTTATGTGATCAAATCCCTAGGCCTTTCATGATTCTTCCACTGCTTTTATCTCTAGTCCCTTCTCAATAGAGATAGGTAGGAACCTTCACCTATATTTCCTTCTAGAAATCTGTGTAGGTTCTTTTTCGGGTTTTTCTAGTTTGTTTTGTCATTGTTTTTTTGGTTTTTTTAATTTAAGTCTTTTAAAACTATATGGATTTTAATTGACAATGCTATACAATGTTTCTACATTTGTTTTTTTTCTCCTCAAATCTCCAATCTCTCAGGCCTATTTGCTGAATAAAATCCTTTCTTCCATGATGTGTTTTGCACCCTAAGTCTCATACATGAAGAAAAATCCATTTTCCTTAAAAGCGATCTTATTTAGGTCACTTAATCTTTCTAGACCCTGCTTAATTAACTATAAAGTGAGACTATTTTATAATTCATTTATGTGTTCAAAAGGTATTTACTGAGCATCTTACACACATGGTACCTATGTAAGATTTCTTCCAGCATTAAAATTCTAAATAAGTAGGAACTTTTATTTATTTGTCTTCAAATCAATAGAGGAAATTAACATAATTTGCTTTATCTGTTGGTTTTTATTCATATATTTTATATTAACCTATTCTGTTGATGCTCAATTTTATGCATAACCTTTCCAGGAGTTTTATCTCTTGGCACTATCACATTTTATTGCATTGGGAAAATATTTCAAAATGATTATAATGTAGTAAAATCCTACAGTAAAAGTGGTAACTGATAATATAGTTTATCTCTGCTTTTAAAGAAAATGCCTCTAATGTTGTGCCATGAAAAATAGCTTTGAAGTGGGCATAGTGACACATGCCTATAATCCTAACACTTAGAAGTCTGAGGCAGGTCAATCGCCACAAGTTTGAGGCCAGCCTGGGCTACATAGTCCGTTCAAAGTCAGCCTGCACTATATAGCGAGACTTAGAAAACTAAAGCAAATTAACAATAACAATAAAAAAACCCTTGGATTTTAAATTAGAAAGTATTTTCATGTTAATCTAGGAATTGTCTTTTTTTATTTGTCTAAGAGAGTTTAAAACTCAAGAATGTTTAATTAATCTTACTAGATGTATTTTTCAGAGTCTCTTAAGGTTATTATATTATTTTTTTCTTTAAGAGTGCTCCACTTTGAAGAACAGGTACTACTAACTTGTGTAGCACAAACTGTTATTTTAGTAATGAGAAACTGAGCCTCAAAGAGGCTGGGTAACTCACCCAGGTCAGGAAAGCTGAATAACTTGTTTTTCCCTCTCTATGAATGTGTGTGTGTGTGTGTGTGTGTGTGTGTGTGTGTGTGTACATACTTTTGCCATTATTTTTATCCCTCTCATTTAAAAATTCTTCTTTAAACCTTAGAAGGCATTTTAAACTGTGTTTACTCAAATTCAAACATATTATTTATGATCCTTTATGACTGCTAGAAATGAGTGTGTGTGAAACAGAATTAGAATTTCACACATTATATAGTGCCTCGTATGTATATTTTTATGAATTTTATGGATGTGCTTTGATATACATAGTGTTGACATTCATCATAGGGAATTCGTACCTGTACATAATTTATCTCGAGTCTTCTTTTTTCCCCATTCCCTTTCCCTCCCTTCAACCCTTCTTCCTCTCTTTATTTACAAAATCTTTGTCTCCATTTTTTCCTTCTATTCTCTTTTTCCCCCTTCCTTGCTCCCCTTCCCATCTGAACATTTTCTTCCTACTTCCCAATATCTGTCATCCATTTTGGTCCTTATTTACTGTTTTGGCTTCTCACACACGAGAAACAATGCAATATTTAAACATGTGTGTCTTGATGGGCAATTGGGCTGTTTCCAAGATTTAGCTGTTAAGAAATTGTGCTGCTATAAATATGGGTGCGCATAGATCACTGTGGTGCGATGCTTTTAATTCTTTTGGGAAGGTACCAAGAACAGGAATAGCTGGGTCAAATGGAACTTCTTGTTTTAGTTTTTTATAGAATCTCCATGTTGATTTCCATGGTGATTGCACCAGTTTATACCCCTAGTGGCAGTGGAGAAGAGTTTTTTTTCCCCCCACCAGCATTTGTTATTGGTTGATTTCTTGATCATAGCCATTCTTTCTGGAGTGGAATGGAATCTCAGCATTGTTTTTTTTGTTTTGTTTTGTTTTTTGAGACAGGGTCTCACTATGTAGTTGAGACTGACCTGGAACTCATTACGTAGCCCAGGCTGGTCTCAAACTCACAGAGATCCTCCTGCCTCAGCCTCCTGAGTGCGGGGATTACAGGCATGAGCCACCACGCCCAGCTTCTCAGCATTGTTTTAATTTGTATTTTTCATATGACCAGTAAAGTTGAACATTTTTTCATATATTTATTTGCTGTTAGTACGTCTTCATCCATGAAATATCTATTTCTGATGCCCATTTTTGGATTGGGTCTTTAAATTTGGGGGACCTGATTTTCTTGAGGTCTTTGTCTATTTTAGATATTAGTCCTTTGTCTGAGAAATAGCTGGTAAAACATTTTTTCCCATTCTGAGGGTTTTCTCTTCACTCTGTTGGTAGTTTCGTTTATGTATATTATTTAGAAATATATGTATGTATGCATTATGTGCATATATAAAATACCTACATATTTACTATAATATTATAAATCATAACAAATTTAAATTTGTTTTACTATTTTCCTATAATACATTTTATTATAGTTGTGGCTTTACCCTTCCTCGGGTATATTTAGCATTCTGTGGAACATCTATGCACTCTCATCTGTTTGGTTCTGAAGAGAAACAGTCTCACGGTGGTGTCGGGCTGACCCCAAACTCTTGGAGTCCACCCTCCCCAATAGGCATATGCATATATATATATATATAT